TACGTGATGTTAATTAGAGTCCCTGTATACAGAGAGCTGCGCCATGACGAGTCGGGACAAATCGGTCACGTGATCGCTGGACGGCATGTTGTTTCCAAATTGATCCACACCGCTGCCGCGGTGAAATGAATTTTGAGTTTATTGAAGCACGATTAGTCTAATTAATTACTACAGACCATTGTACAGCGTATCCATACAGCGCTGTACTTAAGCGGCAGCGGTGTGGATCAATTTGGAAACAACATGCCGTCCAGCGATCACGTGACCGATTTTTCCCGACTCGTCATGGCGCAACTCTCTGTATACAGGGACTCTAATTAACATCACGTACAGTTCAGCCCCAATCAATCGTGGCCCACCGGAGTCATTTACGTGTGTTAGAAGAAGCAGCTCTGTAATTAGTGCAGGTGAACTCGATCAGTTCAAAGATGTACACATCGAGCCGTGAAAACAACAAGTTGGCATTGTCAAAAGTTAATACGGTTGGAAATTTAGGCATTTACATTAGCCTTATAGGCAGTTAAGGCATGTTGGAGGATTTAGAGGCTTGAAAATTAGCTGTAGGATTGAAGCTAGGAATGTCAAACGTGACATGCGTTAGAGGCCTATGATGAACCCTGCTATCGTACTGGCATGGCTCTGCCACGGTTGAGTCCCCTGCCGTGGTAGAGTCTGGGTATGCAGAGGTAGAGCTAAGTGATAAGTATGCAGGTGTTAGAAATAGAAGTACCTTATATGTATAGGAAAGTGATTTGCTATTGGTTAATCCGTTACATATAGAAACACAATGTCTTTTACAGATATAGGATTCCGCAACTGTATATATATTATTATTATATATATATATATATATAGGCCACTGATATGCAGCGAGCAAACCTGAAACAGTTTGCTGATGTTTTGCTGGTCTGCAAAGTTTGCAGGGAGCCATTTGAAAATTCATCTGCACTGCTGGATCATGTAGATAAAATGCATTTGCAGGTGCAGTACAAATAATCTATATATTTTAATTAAAAGCGAGATTATTTTTGTATAATTGCTTATTCAGATGTGTCATAATAATATAGAATTTGGACGTAGTAATTTAACCCCACCACTGGCGATTAATATAAAATCAAAATCAAATTCTAAAATTAATCTTCAGGCTAAACATTCATGTGAATTAATCGTGAAATATTCTAGCTTCCGGTACAAGTGCCAGGATCATCACCTATGAGGGTTCTAAAGACATATACACGTAACAAAAAACCACTTGAAGTGATTGAAAGTACTACTAGCTTGAACATGAGCAAATCTGTAAGTATCCCAATTGTAGCTTTTCTTTACAATATTTTCTAATTTATGATTGCATGTGATTTATTAATTCAGTGCTTCTATTTATTGCTATATGTTCCATGTTTACCATGCCAACCAATTTTGATTTTGTAGAAAACAGAAACTGTCCCACCAGCACAGCTGCAGTCAACGCCAACTGGTGGTACATCGGTGTTCAAGCAGCCACTGGTTTCTTTGCTTAGAATTCAAACCCCCAGTGATCAGGTACCAACAGCTGCTGCCCAAGCTACCGGTGCATCTTCCAGTCTTTCACAGGTGGTGCCATCTACTGATTTGAAATGCATACCTACTGCTGTGCCACCGGCAAGAAATCTGCTGGTAAGGTGTCATTGCGTCATGTGTCATAAATTTCAACATGACATGCTGTTGTTGCATTTATAATTCGTTACAGTCAGGTTGGTAAAACTCTGCTGTGTTATAGTATAAGATTTGACTAATAATTGTGTTACTTTATAATTAACTAGCGGGATACCCGGCGTTGCCCGGAGAAATCAGTGGCATTACCAGGGGTTGAAATTAGATTTTTATTATGGTATCCATTCGGGATACCAGGTAATCTGGTATCCCCCAAAGATCTGGTATCCCATTTTTTGGATAGTAATTTTAACAATTGTTTGCCTTCGAAACTCTCATCGCTCTCTCATCGCTCGCGTTCATTTTACATACGCCTCCACAGTACACTGCAGACAGGCGTATTGTCTAGACGCATTGTCTGGTTTGCTTGATACAATGTATACACATCACATTTATGCTGGCACTTGCAAATATGCTATGCCTGCTGTATAACGCTAGAGTGGCCTGCGCCCGCTCAGATCGCGCGCACTCGCTCTACACGCACTCGCTCAGATGCGCTGCCGTATAAAGTTGATAACTCAACAAGCACTATCCCGATTTTGAGGATTTTTTTTTACTATCCCGGCGGGATACCAAGCATTGAAATCTGTTATCCAACACAAGAATCTACTATCCCGCGGATATCGGGATGCCGCTAATTTCCACCCCTGATTACTCAGTTGGTGACTGCTTGGTTGAAAGGGAAATACCCAAAAAAATCGAACTATCTATCTATCCATGCATCCATCCCATGCCATCCCATCCCATCCCATCCCATCCCATATCCCATCCCATCCCATCCCATCCCATGACATCCCATGCCATCCCATCCTATCCCATGCCATCGCATGCCATCCCATCCCATCCCAAACAGTAAAAAATAACAAGAAATCAAAAGATAAAAGAAATTAAAAATTAAAAGTAAAAAGTAAAAAATTAAAAATAATACATACTAAAGAGGTAGGTAAAGGGAAAAAGAAGAAGAATAAAAGTTCCCCCAGCTGGGACTCCTAACCCGGAATCCCGGTGTAGGAGACGGATGTTTTAGCAATTAGGCCACTGCGCCGTTAAAGGTATACACCAAGGATTCACACTTTCGCACGTTGATGATGTCACATTCGCAAACGCTCCCTGGCGGCGGAGGGAATCAAACCACCATTTTCATTCACTCGTGTTGAGAATTTATCTGTGTGTTTAAAAGACTAGTATAGTTCTCCGTTGAGGCAAGTAAGTTGTAGCGAAGGCACGAATTAAACACAATTGCATAATAAGTAGTAACTTCAGTGATAAACCTTTCCGTGTTTTATGTTCAATAACTCGAGTCGTTTTTGTCGGGTTTGTTTCTTGTGCAGCAAGGCCGTATGCCAATGTATGGTATTCTTCAACTTCGATGTTTCAGTGCAGCAACGGTTTCCCTCTCAAATGTCTGCTAATGCGGTGGAAATGTGAATATATACTTGTTTCGTCGCACTCAATGTGGCACTACACGCAGTGCAGTCTCGACCGCGCCCGCCTGCACTGCTAAAACTATTTGTCCAGTCTCAACTACTGAAACAGTACAGTACTACTACTACTAGTACTACAGACTACAGTCAGAGAAAGCTGCCAAAGCCAAGCCAGTTCCACGGGCACGGTGACGGTGTCTTATCAATGACAATGACGACGTCAATGTATCATCTAACCCTAATCTGAATCCATAACCTTAAATTAATCTCATTGCTCACCATGAATACAGAATAGTACTACTAGATAATAATGAACTTGAAGGATATAGCAGGCGCGGATTTAGGCCGGTTTGCACCGGTTTCCAGAAACCGGTCACAGGCTGGGTATCTTCAGAATTGACCCTTAAAATTCACCAGAATGCACCAAATATAGCTTGATTTTTTAAAAATTCCCGGGGGGCATGCCCCCGGACCCCCCTAGCTGTGACTAGAACTATGGAAACTGGTCACCCAAACCTTCTGGATCCAGCCCTGCATATGTAGGATAATGAACCACTTTACCCAGGGTTCTCACTCAGTGACACTCTGGAATTTCAGACGGCATGTCACTGTCAAGCAATCTAGGCTAGATTCTAGGGGGTTTGTCTCATAGAGTTATATATTAGACCCCTTAGTATATTAATACAACTCTATGGTTTGTCTATATTCAGGCCGGTACAGGAGATAATTTGCATATCACTTCCAGCTGTGAAGAAGATGGTGAAGGAGGAGGAATGGGAGAAGGGAGAAGATGGTGGAGAAGGAGGAGGGGAGAAGCTGGTGGAGAAGGAGGAAGGGGAGAAGGGAGAAGGTGGTGGAGAAGGAGGAGGGGAGAAGCTGGTGGAGAAGGAGGAGGGGAGAAGGGAGAAGG